ACACCAGACCGAGAACAGGGACCCCAACGTGGGACCGAGACCAAGGAGAGACGAAGAAACCCAGGTACCCATAGAGGCTGGGGTCGACGCGAGCGGAGCAGGGAAGCACCAGAAAAGCAGCGTCCGGAGGGTCAAAGGCACCAATCTTGCTGGACAAGAGTACCGAGTCGCCTTGAGGACCTGGAGGAGAGGAGCTGGTTCACTGGTAGAGAAGCCTCTGCCTTCGCCGTCCACTAATTTGGCTGTCTGAGGGGTAAGCTGCATTGGCGCCAAAGCTGTGTAACTTGTGAAAAATATAAAAAGCTAGCTAGCTAAACAGTGCTGTGAAAATATAAAGAGCTCTGTAAAACTGTGTAAAGCTGCATAACTGTGAAAAATAATCAAAGCTGTGTAATTGAGAAAAATATAAAAATGGATATGGAAAGACAGGCAGCCTATTATTTATTTAAGAGCTTCTTAGAGAAGCGAGGTATAGGGAAAGAAATAGACTTAGGGAAAGAACTTACCACCCTCCTTGATTATGGCAAGGGTGTAGGGTGTTTTCAAGATCCACATAAGGTGTTTGAATTAGATGAGTGGAGAAGGTTTGGTGAAATACTTTGGGAACAGGTCATAGATGATAATAATAAGCAGGCACGCAAATTGGCAAAGAATTGGAAATGTGTTATACAATGCGTGCAGAAATATGCTGCGGAACAGCGTATCACTGCTGTCGCGAAAGAAAAATTAAACAATGTATCTGTACCCGAGTCATCGCCTCCTCCTGGAGCGACAGCGTTTGGAAGTGGAGAAATCCCGATGCCGCCTTCTGTGGCTAATTTTCAGATACCCCAAGTCCCCTGTTTGGCTGATTCTGTACAGATGAAGCCTTCCACTTCCCTGCATGAGTCCAGAATTGTGGTGGTGGTCTCTGAGGGTCGTTTACTTCTTCCAACAATCTTCATCACTTCTGGTGGCCTTTGAAGCACGCGCAGTAGATGCTCATACCAGTTTAATTGGTTCATTAGCACCAGAGACATGATAATCCTCCTATCCTCCTACTTATCAGTTAGTTTACCTGTAGCCCATCCTGGACACCTGCAGTTCCCAGATACCCCTTATCCCTGTGTCCTGTTTTTCTAGACTGTTTTTCTTAAAACTGTGCCAACTGTAACGATTTATCTTGTGAGAATTCTCAGTATATTCTCTAGCTGTACTCTTATTTTTTTCTCTATGTATCCTGCACCTCAGTAATTTTCCATTGCTACTGTTACAAAGCCATCAAACTTAACATTACTTAAAACTACTTATAAAGGTTTCTATATCCCATTTTGTGATTAAATATGCCTCTCTTAAAGTGGGTAGGCTCTCAGAACTGGATAGCCAAGCTGCTTGCATCGTCAAGACCACTGAAAGATGCTTTAACTGTGTTTACTGATGCAGGGAAAAATCACGTAAGGCTGCTGTTACTTGGCAGCAAGATAATCAGTGGCAACATAAAATTCTCCCTGGTAGTGAATCTGACTCGTTGCAGACATTAGAAATGTAGGCTATCGCTTGGTCTTTAGCTCACTGGTCCACTTATCACTTAAACATTATATCAGACTCCCTTTATGCTGTAGGAATAGCATTGCGCATTGAAACTGCACGCTTAAGAGAGGTCCAGAATAAACGACTGTTTGAACTTTTAATGTTTATGAGAAGAGCAGTGAAGCTGAGAACTGTCGAGTATTCCGTACTGCATATTAGAAGTCATAAATGGGATTGTGGTTTAGGAGAAGGAAATGCTGTAGCTGACCAACTAGTCAACAATCAAGCCCTTTGGTCAACCCAAGTGCCACAGAATCAATACGTTTTAGCACGAGAAGCTCATGCCAATTTTCATCAAAATGCTAAAGGTCTTAGGAAACAATTTCAGATTTCACATGCTGAGGCATGAGCCATAGTTAGAGCTTGTCCCACATGCTCTAATCACGGCCCAGGATTAGGTATTGGAGTTAACCCTAGAGGTCTCAAAAGTAATGAGATATGGCAGGTAGATGTCACCCATGAAAATAGTTTAGGTCGTTTAAAGTATTTACATGTCACCATTGACACGTATAGCAGATTTATTTGGGTAACTGCCCAAGCAGGAGAAAAAGCATTGCATGTCGTTCAGCACCTCACTCATTTCTTTGCCGTTATGGGGGTACCCGCTACAATAAAAACTGATAACGGTCCAGCATATACAAGTGAACGGGTCAGGAAATTTTTCCAGCTGTGGGGAATACGTCATGTTACCGGTATTCCTCACTCCCCCACGGGCCAAGCTATTATTGAGCGAGCTCCTGCTACAGTTAAAAGATATTTACAAAAATAATTCTGAAATTACAGATACTTATGAGCAGCTCTCTAGAACTTTGTTTGTCCTAAATCATTTGTGTGTATTTGGAGATTCTGAATGGCCAGCTGCTTGTATCTATTTTTCCCCTAACAGAGACAGAAATGTTCACCAGACACCAAAAGTTTGGTATAGAGATCCCAAATCGGGTTTATGGTGTAACCCTGTAGACTTGCTGTATTTAGGCCAAGGTTATGCTTGTGTTTTATCGCCAACAGGCCCTTTATGGATTCCGACTAAAGGGATTCATCCGGTGAATCTCCCCTCTTCAGATGGACCCCGAAGCCAATGAGCAGGAGAAGAATCGACGGATTCGCACTTTGAACCCATTAATTGATAAGTTAAACAGACTGACTGCTTCAAACGTAGTTTTGTGTTTAGATAACATTGCTCTTATATGCCCAGTTCAAGGCTATCACCATCTGTTTCTGCAGCCGTCGAGTGAGCTACGTTGTGAACTCTCTCGACCCTGTCAACAGTGTTTTTTCTGTGATCCAATTGTGATATTTCAGTGTGGTCGCTGTTGGCCTCTGCGTCGTAAACCTTGCCGCCTACGACAGAGCTGGTTAAAACAGAGCCCACTGTGTTTACACTGCCGCGAATGGTTTGATCGCAACGGGAATCCCGTTGTAGCTTTAAGGCATTTTTTGCGAGACTATCAATCAACTGATTCCCAGTTAATTGCTTTGTTTGAAAATAAGAATAGCTTAAGTCGTGCCTATTATCAGTTTATCTTGCAATGGTTGCTTGCAAAGCTTGAAGCTTTAAAGCAGACTAAGATACTTAAAAGACGCTGTCAATATAGAAAGCAATAATGAAAATGATCCTAGTTCCACTGACAATAACCTTTCTTGTTAGCGAAACACTTGCTTTCCTGTCCGATTTAGCCAAGCCACGAAATAATGTCTGGATTACCATAGCAAATATCATGGGGCAACAGCCTTTCTGTCTGAGACTGGCTTCTTCAAGCAACCCCTTTCGTACCTGTCTCATAGGAGTTCCTGTGTGGAACCCTCGTGAGTTCCTGGGGTACGTCAATAATGCCACTATTCTAAATTTTACCGCTGTCAATGCATCAGTGACTTGTACTGATTGTATGGCTGCAAAACGTGATGGAGGCTGGCTATGTGCCATCATTAAAGCCCACAATGGCACTCTTGCCTCCCCCCCAGAAGAACTGGATCTTTTTGGAAGTGTAAGCACAACAAATGTCACCGGAGGTGGTTGGTTAAATTTAAGCCACCCACAATAGGGCTCCCAAATAGCAGTTGGAGGAAATGGACCACAGTAAATTTGGACATTAGGAACACCATTAGTATTATGCAGTCCACATATTCCCAGTGTAACTCCACAGGTACACCTCCCAGACGACTCCCCCCAGGTATCTTTTTAGTCTGTGGTGATCGTGCCTGGAATGGTGTTCCTGCCAGTCTTCATGGAGGTCCATGTTATCTTGGTAAATTATCACTATTCCACCCCAATATCTCTCTTTTGATGAGATGGACCCATGGAAATGCTGCCCATTCCAAACGGAGCATGCATGAGTTAAAATGTGATGAGATAGGTCAGCCTACCTTTTGGTCTAATACTAGAATCCTTTTTCAATCAGTATTCCTCCCTCAAACGTCAGCAGCCCAGGCATGGTATACTCTAAAACGACTAGCGTGTTGGACAAGAAATGAATTGAATCTCACCTCAGATATCTTAAGCAAATTAACAGAAGATGTAACCAGTGTAAATCACGCAGTTCTACAAAACAGAGCAGCTATTGATTTTCTGTTGCTAGCTCAAGGCCATGGATGTGAGGATTTCGAGGGTATGTGTTGTATGAATCTCTCAGACCATAGTAACTCTATGCACAAGGAGTTGCAACGACTCAAAGACAACTTGCACAAATTAAAGGAGGGTGAATCTTGGGACCTCACCTCTTGGTTACGATCACTGGGACTCGGATCATGGCTAAGCAGTATTTTGAGCCACTTTTTGCTTGTATGTATCTTGCTTTTGCTCATTTTGATCTGTTTACCTTGCATTATTCAATGTATTCAGCAAAGCCTTATGAGAATTGTAACAAGTATGTTGGAAAAAGAAAAAGGGGGAATTGTGGAAGCGTGGTTACCAGACAAAGGTCATGTTCCCTTGACTAAGGGACCAGTTCTGTAACGATGGACATAAGAAGCAATCTCAGCTGTTTGGTCTTAGCCGAACTCTGAGGCTTGTACTGGAGTTACCCAGGCTGCAAGGCCTAACCTTAGGTTAGTAAGGGTCAGCTACGTGCAGTAGGACAAAGAGTCTTAGTAAGTTGTAAAACAAAGAGACTTGGTAAGTCGCTCAAGGTTAGCAGGATGTAGGAGCAGGATAGTGAAATTGCAAGAAACATGCTAAAAGTAGCAAATGTAACAGAAGGCAAAATTTTCCCGCTCACTTCTAATCTTCCAAAAATGTGTGTATGTAGCAGTTTAACACTATATATACCCTGGACCTCAGATGAATAAACGGATCACTTTATCAATCATATTGATTGTGCTGCGTTCCCTCCGCATCGCGACAACATAAAGTCTCTGACAAGTTTCCCGGTATATTTTCCTAGGAGGCTGCAGGGATTTCACAACACCACAGGGAAAACAAACACATGAATTACCTGAAAGGGGCTTTTGGTTTAACTGCTGCAGGGTCGGCAGCCTCAGGAAACTTGTGTCTCCTGACGTTGACAGAGCTTTGGAATTTGTGATCTGTGAACCCCATAGGGAAAATATGAGAACTGAGTCTTTGGTCAGATTTCATAGACAAAGATTTTCGTTAGTTTGGAACTTTTGGTTCCTCTGAACTGGTATGTACCAGTAATATGGGGAACCTGAAAGTCTGGTTACTGCAAAGTCCCAGTTCTTGAACCAGCAGCCTTGAGAAGCTTGGCTTGCTCTGGAATAAGCACAGCAATTCACAGAGAGGTGACATCTGCTTCCTGAAGCTAATATGGTCCCAGCTCTCTGTTTGCTCTGCTGGCAAACAACCTCAGAATGTGGCTGTGCTGGGGCTTTAGAAACCACTACTTCATTTTAGGTAGAACATTTCAAAATTACATTGCCTGTTTTGTCTTTTAAAGTTATCTGGAGAATTTCGTCCTCCACACAGGAGAGTGACTTTTCTTGTTCATTGTTTTCATAGATCCTGTAGATGGAGACAGGATACAGAGTACAATATACACGGAGAGGTTTGGGAAATCAGGTTCATTTTGATATTGGGTAAACTGTGTAAACCTGCGAGTCTCCTGCTGAGCTGAAAACACTATACAGAGCTCCACAATCCCAGACTGGTGCCATTGCCAGCAAGCCTGTTCCCCTCGTATTCCTCATGCTTTACCAAGAGAATCAAAATAAGCAATTGCCACACTTTTCCTGTAATAATTCTCATCATTTTTTTTCATACCTGTGGCAAATTCAGGAACTCCTGGGATTTCTCTGATACTCAGCAGAGAAGAGTTTATTATTATCTTCAACAGGTCTTCAGCTACCTACAGGAAGAATCACAAGTATCATCAGCCTCTGTCTTTGCACCACTGACAGGTTCAGCATTTTGCATAAAAAACATTTTACTTTGGAACTGAGTGCTCTGTTATGTACAAATCATTCCCATTTCATCTCCTTTTAGGCCTCCCGTTGAACTCCTCATTATACAATATTCTGTCCCTTCCTCAAAGCATAAATACTCTCATAAAAGATCCTCTCCTAGTGTTTTTACAATCATCAGATGTTTTTACAGGCTACAAACTCCATATTTGCCAATACATAAGCCATTCATCAGAACTTCCTGAAGACAGGAGAAAAGGTAACAGCAAACCAATCTTCCTGTATAAAAGCCAAAACTCAAATGTAGTATTCTAGATAAAAGAAAAACCTACAATTTTACACTTAACCATCACATTTTGCCTTTTGTCCCCCCAGTACATGTAATTGCAAGTCTTTTTCCTGTCTTGATGAGTAAAGTGTGCAATATGAGAGTCTTCCACTGCAAGTTTACTCATAGGATGTGTTTAAAATTAAATTCAAAAGCATGAATCACCATGTGTAGTGTTGCAGAGCTGTCTTCATATTTTTCAGTTGGATTCCCTTTGCTAAAGCAAAGCACTCACCTCACACACCAAAATGCTGCAGGCATCTGCATGCAGAGTATTTTGGAAGTGAAAGTCTAGGACTTCCATGATTTAGCGCTTCAGTGACAGGCAAATTCAGTCCTGTACATTTGGGCAGAACTAAAGTTGTCAAAGGTACATGGACAAAAATCAGGCGCAGTTTGATCCCACAGTAATCTAGATGGCAGAATTTACTCATGTAAACGATCAACTAGACAGAGATCCAACTACTCTATGCTAGATTTAGTGGAAATAGATTGTTTTCTGTTTCATCAAGAAGACTTGGTGCCATTCAGAGCCAAGTTTACTATATCAAAGCTGCAGAGATAGGGGAAAAGTTAATGGGGTTTAGTAATAGCAGTGATAGAAAGCTATTGCAGTTATTAGAGAACAGTTCTTAAAATCCAGTGTCCACTTTGACTGTAACTCCTCCAAATTCAAGACAACCTAAGGATAAAACTAAATAATCTGCCAGAACAGACTTGCTGCATTCCTGACAGGTATTAGAAAATAAAACTGGGCAGGGGGATGGAGGGGGATTGTGGAGACAGACCCAACAAGAAACATCACGATGAAACCTCTCATATTGAATTTCCAATAATAGACCTAAAAGCTCTTTACGGGATGAAAAGGCAGGGGTAGAGTCATATTGCAAAGAAATAAAGGCACTGATTCTCTGTACAACTTTCTTAAGACTCTCCAGCAGGCTAGAATCATAGAATCCCAGATTGGTTTGGGCTGGAAGAGACCTTAAAGCTTACCCAGTTCCAACCCCCTGCCACAGGCAGGGACACCTTCCACTAGAGCAGCTTGCTCCAAGCCCCTGTGTCCAACCTGGCCTTGAGCACTGCCAGGGATGGGGCAGCCACAGCTTCTCTGGGCACCCTGTGCCAGCGCCTCAGCACCCTCACAGGGAAGAGCTTCTGCCTAAGAGCTCATCTCAGTCTCCCCTCTGGCAGGTTAAAGCCGTTCCCCCTTGTCCTGTCTACGTATCCCTCTCCGTATTTCTTGTAGGCCCCCTCTAGTCCTGTGCTTTGAAATACAATTTTAAAACATGCACTCATCTGAAGAAACAGCCTACAGGAAAACACACACTTGATTTACCTCCACACAACTGGAGTGAGAACAAATTTTACCTCTCAGTTTTCATAGTCTGGCTGTAGCCCCACATTACCAGAGCTCATGAGTCCTGCTATCACCCTAAATGTATACAGTGCTGGGAAACACAGTTTCCAGTTCAAAAATCCTTCTGGAGCTCCTGCTTCTTACACCCAAGGTAGAGGATACAGCCCACACTGGTAAAGAAGGGGAGTGACTGCTGCAGACAGGCTGTCTGGCACTATTGTCCTGCCGGCTGGCTATGCCCACATGCTGCCTCAGCTGGATGGGATTTGAAAACAACTTTTCCCACTTGTCTTTGAAACTCAACGTTAGTGAAGAATAAACCCACCCAAGTATTGTTCCTTTGTCCTTCCAAAGCTGAGGGTGCCAGGCCCTGCACACGAGCAGCAGTGCTTAGAGGTGCTGCCAGGAGTACAGAGGCACTTACTGCCTCTTTGGATGACAAGGAAATACATTCATTGCAAAAGCCTAGTCTCTCATACCTGCTCCTTTTCCTACTTCATCTTTCTATCATCTCAGGCGACATGACAGCAGTTTTTTCCCCAGCCTTTACTCCAACTTGCTGCATTCCGCAGCTCGCTGTGTTCATCAAGATGCCTTCATCAGAGTAATTACCAACCTAGACTCTTCTTATCCTAACACCTTGCAGGTCTACAATCAGAAGCGGCCCAGCACAAGAACTCCCGGCAGGCAGAGTCTGCTCGAGGGTTAAAAAACCACCTCAAACAGACAAAAAGCCCCCCCCAACTAACTATGATTAAGATGATTAAGGGAGTGGAGCATCTCCCTTATGAGGAAAGACTGAGGGAGCTGGGTCTCTATAGTTTGGAGAAGAGGAGATTAAGCGGTGACCTTATTAGTGTATATAAATATATAAAGGGGGAGTGTCACGAGGATGGAGCCAGGCTCTTCTCAGTGGCAAACAATGAAAGGACAAGGGGCAATGGGTACAAATTGGAGCACAAGAGGTTCCACTTAAACCTGAGAAGAAACTTCTTCTCAGTGAGGGTGATGGAACACTGGAACAGGCTGCCCAGGGAGGTTGTGGAATCTCCTTCTTTGGAGACATTCAAAACCCGCCTGGACACGTTCCTGTGTAACCTTATCTAGGTGTTCCTGCTCCGGCAGGGGGATTGGACTAGATGATCTTCTGAGGTCCCTTCCAATCTCTAACATACTGTGATACTGTGATATTGTGAACTAAATCTTTAAGGCTCCATACGAGCCTGCCAAGCTGGGGCGCCAGCTCCCTCTAGTGTCCGTGCACGCCGGGCGCGCCGCCGTTATGTTGGCTGTGGTTTCTCTCTCGCACACTGCCCTCTGCAGCTCGCTGCCAGGCTGTGCCTGCAGGGACTAAAGGCCTCAAACGGAAGGAAAGTATAGTAAAATAATAATAAAAGGAGTCCAGAGGGGTCCTTCCACTCGGAACTGATTGGCCAGAGCAGACCCATGTAATTCCCTGAGGCACCAGCACCTCATGGTCCTGGCCGCCTCAGCACAAAAACAGGGTCTCTCATGTGCAGCTGACAAGAATCTCTCATTTTCTCATCAAAATATACCAACTTCAGGCAACATGAAGATGATCAATCAGTTTCTGCAGGCATGTCACCAGCTGGACATGTTTCTGCCCCATGCAGTGCACTGTGTTGTGGTATCACCAGACAGATGCCTGAGGAGCAGTGAGCTGGGCCAGGCACAGACACACCTGCCTGCCCCAACTGTATTTTGTTAAATAGATCCTTCAAAGCAACAGATTAGTATATTGCTGTAATATTCAGTGATGTATTTAGTGCTGCAGAGCTCCAGATGCTCTGTAAGCCACAATAATGCAGTTAAGTGGAAAATGAGTCATTCAAAACCATAACAACTACCATAGCATGACTCCACTGACAACAAAGCACAATGGTAATACTGCAAGGTGGATGATGCGGGTTCATCAGGGCCACTGGCCCTGGGAGGCTCTGTCTCTGCAGTTCCCCAGTCCTGGTGCTGCTGAAGGGAGCCCAGCGTGGGGTGGCACAGCTGGCTGGGGTGCCCTGTCCTCCTCTGAGCTTTTGGGCGCAAGCCACCATTGCCTCAACACCGTGTTCCACCTCACGGCTGCTGATCCACCTCGCTGCTCAGCTTCATGAAGAACGCTGTTGTGGATCCCCGGGGAGCAGAGGAGCACATGGATATCAGTTGTGGTGAGGTAGGACCGCTCTGTTCAAAGGAGTTTTCCTCAGTCAGACCAGCTAGACCAGGGGCTCAGACCACAGGGGCCATGGGAGCAGGGTGCTGCAGGGCTGCCAACCTTCCTGAGGGAACTGGTGCCCATGGGGACAGCCCAACTTCCAGGTGCTGTCTGGGGGCAGGTGGGTTTGGGGCATGGCCCTTTTGTGGGAGAGGAGACAAAGGCTCTGTCAAGCCCACTTTATCCCTCAGCTTGGACAAAAAGCAGCAGGACCATGTGGGGCCATGCTCTGCTGCCTGCTCCTCAGGTCGGGCTCAA